TACAAACACCTTAAAAATCAAGATATTTGTGTAACAGAATGTGTGAAAAATACCTACAGAGAATGCATAATCACTAACGTAAGGAGGTGCAATGTAAGATCTAAATAGAAGTAGTGCAATCATCATCATTGGCAGCATGATCACAGTACTGCATACAGTTTTAAAACATCAGCTCCTGTTTTAAGTCCTGAGACAGAGCAACTGAGGCCCTTAAGTACTATAACAGTGTAAGTTAAAAACCCCTGACATCTCACTTCCAGTATTACCACTTCTATCTATATATGTCACATAGTTTCTACTCTCAGGACAGTTGAATTTGTTAGCACTGTTTCAGTCTCATTACTCTTATTTTTTAATACAGAGCAAACCTGATTAAACTATACTTTAGTTGTGTGTTCTAAATCATTGGACACTATAACCACTGCTACAATAACAAGCACTAGAGGAGACTGTGATTAATTTCCTTGGGAGTGCGCTGGGGGTTGCTCTGAGGAGGTTAGCACAACTGTTAAGTGTTATTTTTGACTTGCTACTCCTACTACAATAAAGTTATCCATTAGTTTGTCTGCCACATTCCTTGGAAATGCAGCTCATTTGTCGCAGTTTCTCATGTATGTGTTGCAATGTGGAGGCACAGGGGAGGCTAAAGGAGGCTTTGAATGCCTTTGGATGTACTGTTTTGGTTAGCTCCTGGGAGTGGGATACTCAAAAATCTGCAAAACTCCTATTAGACATCTGAGGATTGGCCTTTGTTCTATTTACATGTGTATTAAATTCAAACATCTTTACCACCTATTCTGGATAGTAGACACAAATTTCCCTCATTGTAATGCACAGGACTGGCATTCTGGTTTGAGACTTAGTTGTTTCAGCATAAAAGGGAACAAACTGACCTACTTTGTGCACTACTGTATAATAGAAGTGGTTTGTGGCAGTAGCTTATGAAAGGTTTATATACCCACACTGTTTTGTTTAAATAATAAGAAATACAAGAATGACATTTAGTAATTTAAACAGTTGACAACAGTAATGAAAAATACCATAGACCCAGAGAGTAAGAAGATGAAAATCCATTAAAGAAAATCTATTGGAATAACTTATTAGCAAGGGCTTATTGTAAAATATATATATATATATATAGAAAGGAGTTTCATCCTCACCTCCCAATGAAATGCCAAAGAAGCCTGAACATGAAATTGGAGCCACCAGCCATCTTTCTGAAATAAGACCTGACTTTTAAAGAGACAGTTCTTTATAAAGCCTGGATAATTTTAGCCTCTTACTACTAGAAGTCAGCATGTATGCAAGCATCAGTGAAAACTTTCACTTCAGGAAATCTTCAGTCACCAGTGATAGGGAAATGGTGTCTTGAAAAAAGGTTTATTAAACAGACAAATAAAATAATAAACCGGGAATAGTGCCCATAGACATTCCTTCTACTCATGGATCTGAAACAGAACTGTCAGAGGATCACTCATCAGGAGAGGCTTCTGCAAAATGGATATATAGAAGTGACAGGACAAACCTAATTCTCCAAATCAGCAACAGAGTTTGTAAAATGCTGAGTCTTGCCTCCGTGACTTCAGAGAACAAACAATTTCAGGGCATTTGCTAGTTCACTTAGGACCAGATTAGGGAAGCAAGAGCTGACATTGGGACTCCTAAACACCAACATCCAGTAAGGGAGATGGGGAAAAAGATGGCTGAAAGAATTTGTCCAATGCACCATGCTTTCCTAGTATTTTGACAGAAGGATTAAGAGTTCATTTGATATATCTGGACGGCATTTTACAACTCAGGGTCTACAAAGAGAAATATTGGAAGATAGAAACATTAAACTAGATGAAGAACTGACACAACACCTGAGACTAGGAGAGAACAAACTACACAGGATTAGATGTACTGGATACTGTATGGCTACTGATTATGCAAGTGCCCTCCAAATCACACAGTGACCTGAGATTCATGAAGAGACAGGCACAGAAACAACAGTTGAGGAAAGAAAACTCTCAACTGAAAGGTCCAGAATAAGGGCAACCAGCCCATCCTAAGTACATCTGATTAATGCAGGCTTTTTCCATGAAATAGTCAACATAGAAAAGGAGAATGGTGAAAACAGAAAGAACTGAGCAGAAATGAAGAGAAACCATTCCAGAGTGGCAGCACCCCAGCAAAAAGCATTTTGGGCTTTACAGGCAGAAGCCAACATAGGCAGAAAACCAGAACACCAGATTTGTTGGGCAGGTTCATGAAACCTGCATTTACACCCATTAGCCCCTCCTGTTTCTGAAACGTTTCCTGCTTGCAAAATATGATAGGTTCTGTAGTCATCAAATTTAAACTCTGACACAGACTAAAACAAGTGATAAGGTAAAGAAAAAGGAACCGTTACATTGAAAGAGTATATATACTATATATAACCTAAGTGGTTAATGCCACTGTCTGGGTTTAAAGGGAAGCCTGGGGCAAGTAGCTGTATGTTCTGCAATCTGTCACTCACTTCTTGACTAAGCTCTGAATCATATTTTAAGACTCCACTATCAGTTTATGGACTTCCTTTTCTTGCCTCCCCCCCTGCCCCAAGAGTCTCAACTCTGGTTTTCCTGCAGGACTCTGGGGGTTTTACTTTTTAACTGGTGACAGTCTTTTCTCCAGTCTTTTACTGCATCTCATACATAGAACTTTGGGGTTTGTATCTCTAAATGACTAACAAAAACCACCAATGTATTTTTCAGGAAAATCGCTCCCATTTTTTCACTGTTATCTTGAAAAAGGTTAAAAGAGGAAAAAGAGAAAAAAGATTGCAAAACCCATGAAGAATTTTTCCTCCTTTAAAACAGAAAAACAAACAAAAACTGCTATTTCCATAATCACAGAAAAATCACCACATTTCAATTGTGTTTTTTCCATTACAAATCACTATTAACAACTGTAGAGTGATGGGTAAAAATACCCCTTTGGTACTGGAGGATTAGTTCAGACTTGTGCCAGCAGACACAGAGCTGTGCCTCTGCAGCACAGTTCAGCAGATCACAGAATACGTATTTTGCAGCTTATCTAAATGATCATCTTTCTTTATTTTCCAAACATTCCCAACATAGCTCCAGAAATTCAATGTACTGCAATCTTTCTAACTTTTCAAAGATGTCTGAGGCTGGGTGTGGACCAATAAAGAGGAATCTGTATCATGAGTCTTATGACTTTTATCACTACATTCTCAGCTGTTAGTGACAAGATTAAACTTCCAGAAACATCTCAAGCATCCTGAATGAGGCTTGATGAAAACCACCACATACTCAGCCCTCGGCACTGCTTTGTTCTTTTTTTCCTTTTAAGAAGAAATATTAAGGTCTTCTGTGTAACTGAAACCTTATACATGTGCTTTTAAATCAAAAGCAATCAATACACGAACCTATTTTAAGCCATTTTAACTGCAGCACTTTTGTTTTCAGAAAGAAACAACCGAATACCTGTAAATACAGTAATGTTTAAGGAAAAAGGAGAGCCAAATTCTTTTAATCACAGTGTCCTATTGACAGCAAATAGCCTTCCACTTCAAACCTGTCTATAAGGCTCAGACTGAAACAAAGTAATTTGAGGAAATACTTTCAACATGTCAGGCCTCAACATAGATACGTAATTGCATGTATGTTAGATAATGTAACAGGTATATTGAAAGTGTAAAACCAGGAATATGGGCAGGTCACCTCTTACAAGAGCTCCATGATATTAACTGAATAATTGCAACTACAGTAAAAGGAGGGTAGAGGAAATCAGAAACAAATTTTTTTTTGCTTAAAATCTTCCTAAAAAATGACAATATTCAACTCCCCTTGGTAAAAGTGAGGGGAAAATAAGCCTGAAAGAAACTCTCACATAAACTTGACAAATTCCTTACCATTTACTGAGCTAAATTTCCTAGATAAACCACAGAGGTGGAATCTTTAAAAATTCCATTGCTATTCAGGCTGTGTTTTCCTAATCCAGCATTATTACCTACAGCACATTTTAAATATATTTTTTTCAGCCTACTGTAAGATGTCCAATTTAGATATATCCCCTTTTCAATATTTTACTCAGGAAACTACTCAGCCCTGCAAACATGCATGTGATTGCAACTTCATTTGTGGCCCCATTAGTAAGGATCTATTACAGCATGTGACTACACTCATGTTTATTTGTTTATGGAATGAATTCCAAGAAGTTTTACAGTGTAGTCTATTTGTTCTGGGTACTAAATTTAATGTTTTTCCCTTCCTCAATTCATTCTGCTTTGATGTGATATGATTATTTACTTTGCTACAATTACATGCAGCCATCCTTCATAAGGGTGCAGACCAGACTTCCCCTGTTCAGCTTGGTAAGCATATTTAGCTTTCGAATCTTTCCTCATAATTTAGGTGGAGACACATCACAGCTGCATAAAGAGTGACTGACTGTATTTTGTTGCTTCTTGACAGTATGCATCTGTTCCTGCTCTAGTGCTCCTAAAATATGCAGCCTGTTCTCCACTTTATCTGCAATCTCATTCATATTTTCAAGGATTTTCCTGTGACATAACAGCATGTTGCTGGTCGCATCTTCCCAAAGGAAAAGATTCTACCAATAAAGCATTTGTAATATCTCTCAGTCTAAGTGAGTAGTAACTTCTACTGCCAAAGGAGTAATACAGCTGGAAAATTGAATGGAATGTAAAAGAATATTCCCTCCTGTATCTGGAAATCACACCCCCACACACACCTGCTGTGAAGATTACTTTCTGTCTCAGTCTGGTTTAACTAGATTTTCCACACACTGCATACACATTTACTATTACAGAAGTACCTTGTAAAGCCAGGAATATTTATTTCTTACAGTAAGAACAGTGCTTTTTATAAATAAAATTTTGCAAACTTTAAGCAGGTAAGAAATAAAGAAAACCCTTAGGAAACAAAATAGCTGAATGTACTAGATAGCATCTACAGAACCAACAGCCTTTCCACAGCACATCAGCAAAATCATTGTAACAGTGTCAGGAGAGTGTTTTGTTCACATAAGTGATGAATGAAGATTTAGGTATTTTCATTAAAAAGTTCAAATATTTTCAGATTCCTTTCATTGTAGGACAGGCATTTTTCATTTCCAGTGATGTGTCAGCAGTACTGCATCTGCATAACACACCGCTCAGAATCATGGCTAGATGGGGTTTGTCCACTGCAGGGAGGCACAAAACAAATTAACCAGGTCATTAACAAAAACCCAAATGTTTCTTCTTGGAAACATGAAAGCAAAAATACAGCTGGAGCTATGTGGGATACCAGCTAGGAAGCCAGCTGCAGGAAATTATGTCCAGTTTCAAATGGATGATTTAAGGTGCAGATACTGACAGAATTGATATGGACAGCCCTAGATAAATGCACGCTGGGAAGAGTTTTCCTAATCAATCTCATGGTAGAACATCAGCTGCATGAAACCAAAAGCAGATCTTGCGATGTGTATGCCCCTGTGTCACATCCTGCCAAATAGGAAAACATCATCTCAAGTAACATGTAGGTTACATACATTTACATTAGTTTCAGCAAATCAGAATAAAATCAGAAATGACATAATCTCAGGAAAAAAGAAGAAGGAAAGAAAGGGAAAAAAGGAAAGAAAAGGAAAGAATAAAAAAGAAAGGAAAAGGAAAGAAAAAGCCCCCCAGCTTATCCACTATTCACTCACATGCTCTGCAGGTTGTTTTTATTGGGTGTGTTTTCTGTAAAAGGTAGTATTTTTTATTTTTAAAGACCTGTAAAATATTCTGGAACAAATTTATCCCATCAGCTGTGCTATACTGGGGAGAATGCTCTCTCCCTACAAGTCTAAAGCTGTGAGCCACTAAACTGAGTCTGTAGTGCTATGCTTCTCTCTACATTTTCAGTCTGAAACTGTGAAGAGTAAGGACTATCACACCTTAAATATAGATTGCTTTGTGGAATGTGATGTTACAGCTCTGGAGCAGTATAGCAAACAAAATGTCAGCTAAGAATGTTGTAGCTTTACGATCTTAGGTAAAGGCTGAAAGAAACACACCTCCTTCTTGGCACTCAAAAGGAAATTTGGCAGGCATATGCACTAAAGAGGTCAACAGTCCTTGCAAAATAATACTTAGAATTTTCATGCAAAGTTTTCATACTTTCTATCCTAGAACACGTTCTGAAATGAGTAATACATAGTGTAAAAGATACAGTGAAAGAAGAATTACAAAGAAAGAAAATAAATGTGACACTTTAAACACGCTGTGAAGCAGGGGGAGAATCAGTGGTTTATATGAGGCTACATTATACCCAGCCTACCAAACCAAGCAGCCACACCATGTAGGGTATGGTTTCACATGACACAGCAGGCACAGGACAGATAAGCTGATCTGAAAGTGAGCGGCCATCACAAATGGGCAGTTTGCCTTCCTTCTATTTACTGTTGCAGTATTTCTCTTATAGTGGATGTAAGGACTGTGTCATTACTGGGCAAGCCAGTTTGTCAGGCTGATCCAGCAGAAAACTAACCCAAGGGGCAGCAGACCGGAACTGAGGAGCAGTTCTTTGTCAGATCTGCTGAACCAACTCACTGTGAAGCCATGATTGCTAGTGCCAAGAAAAGGAAAGGATGGCAGAAGCCTTGGCCAAGGAAGCACAGGGCTGCCTTTTTCCTGGAGAAGCTGCTGGATTGCCTTAGCTGCCCAACAGAAATCAAGACTGGTCCTTACTTGAAGAAAAACCTCAAAAGTGTTTCATGCTGGTTATGTTCTAATGAAAACTAAAACTTCACTATTTGTTTCAATAATAATGAACATGCTTTGACACAATTTCTGAAACCAGAAAAATGAGTCAAGAGTGCCTTTGCATTTGTTAATTACAACAAGTTTCTTTTTTAACTTCCTCTTCATACCCTTCTTAAGTATCAGACTGGTCAAGATTATACAAACATACTTTCATAAAATTATACATCTTTGCCTCAAACATACCCTTGAAATAAGGTGTACACAGCATTGTGCTGAAAGCCACAACAAAGCAGAAGCTGTTAGCTCACATTATCCGAGTCTTTGGCTGATATTTTCACGAAAGGTATGCTGATCTTTCTAGTAGTGTCAATAGAATCACATTACTGCCCAAGTCAGCATTTTCTAAAAGCTATTTGGCAGCTCACCATTCATCCCCTACAGTCAGATTCAACACTGTTTACAACACCTAATAAACCGGGTTAGACTCATATACGAATTTAAGAGATATTTCATTGTTACTCTCAATGTATTTTACTTTATAATAAATTGTTGTACCTATTTAAAATTTAAAAACATTTTTCTTCTTTGATCATGAATCTCAATGCTTTATTTGTGACATCTGAGTTTAGCAACAATAAATGCTTTGTCTGCTTCATGAGAAGAGCTCAGTTGTTTACTTGAAAGGGATTAATTCAACTAATTCACTTAAACCAAATATATATAACAACAGGTTAAGAAGTAGTGGTGTTATGCTATTCATTATGAGTGCTCCCAATTCACTTTAGCACAAAGTCAGGTGGGTTAGATGAAGCCACTGGTGAAAGCAGTTTAAGCTAACCTTGCTGACTTTACCACGAAATGGGGTTTAACAACATTAATAAAGAGCAGAATAATAATAGCAGAAACAGGAGCAGCTGGAGCACTAACAAAATTAATTGTGGCATCACAGCTGAGATTGATAATGAAAACCTCTGGACAGTAACTTCTCAAACTAGTACAGCTGTTTCCAAAGAGCCATCTGTCTGGGCCCCAAAGCTATTTTATGTATGGATACTCTTAAATTTACTTAGCAGAGCGCAGTTAAAGAATTACAGAAACAATGTGGTAACACTGAAAGCTAATGTGATATAAGGAATATAAACTCTACTGGATTAAGAAAAAAAAATGGAAAAAGGGCAATTTTACAAGTTTCTTTGAAGTGGTAAAACATCTGTGTGTCCTACAGTCCTAAAGTAATTGATCTGATGACAGCAAAGCTCTATGAGAGTGATTAAAAGGAAATTTGTTTTTCCTTTTAAAACAACTGGCAAAGGCGGCAAAGGAAATCTTATCACTACATTACTTTCCAACACAATATACATTTTATAAATAGAATGTATGTAAAGATTAAATTTGTTCAGGGACAGGAGGGTTTTTTAATCAATTCAACTGCCAATTGACACAGTCCACTCCACCTCCTTTTCTTAGCTGCAACATTTTGACATCATTTAAAATTCATTATGAAGCCCGTAAGGTCAACTTCTATCATCCCCCTCAGGAATGCTTTTTTCAACCATTAATACTGACGGAATTAAACACATATTACAAAGAGAAGAGTTTGGTTTGTATTTTTCAAATCTATAATGACATTATTTTTATCATAGTAAATCTGAATCCACTGTTTTCAGATCTTCAATACTAGATCTACTTATTTATTCTTTTAAAAAATCAACGGTATAATCAACTCCTGCTAGTCACCTGGAGATTGGATCTTCCTCAGACAGGAACAAATACACAAGAATACCTTCTCATATTCTGCTCAATTTAACCAAGCTGTGGGCTGCTGGAAGCAACTGTGATGCTCTCTCCCCAGTTCACTTTCTTCTTTATGTTAGATACAGCAATTACGTGGCAACAGCACTGTGGAAAATTAACCTGCTCCATACCAAAATCCTCAGTGATCCAAACCCATGGTGCAGGTACACAAACACTAAAACTGATGCAAGAGCTACAGAGTGGGATCAACCCTTTTGTCAGCTCTCAGTTTGATCCACTTGACTCTGTGAAACTGTACTCCGAATGCTCGTATGTAGTTCATGGCAAAGGTTGACCATCTGAGCACACATCTGCAACAGTCCCATCAGACTGAAGGACCTCACAGTGGTGACTGGTACAACATAATTTTCCCTCTCTTCAACACATGAACAGTACAGCTGAATAACCTCTTCCCACCTCCATCTATTTGTGTAAAGTTGACATCCCTACATGCATCATGTCACAGTCTAGTCCACAGAGGCTGATAAAAAGTAGAGTGGCTGAGGAGCTAGTGAATCCTCCTGCAGCAGCAAAGAGGGTGTGCAGATAATCATAACTACACCTCTGTGCCTGAGTAAGTGAATGATAAATCTGGCCCTGCGAGTAAAGCCTTGTCCACGATCAGGGTGAACGAGAACATACTACGCTGCTGATTCTTAAACCAATCTGTCCTCATTTCCCTTGGCAATTATATTGGGTTGTTTGGGTTTGCTTTCTTTTCTTAGAACTGTACGGGCTAACTTCTGCTATAAAGCAACTACAGGAAAATGCCAGTAGAACATTTACTAGATTGAAATCCCACAGTTCAGAAAAACCGTACTGTAACCCATCTGGTAAAAATCAGCATTTACATGTTGTGTAGCTGGTACAGGTCTGATCCTGCCCTACAAAATAGTGTGCCAGCACGCTGTCATAGTCCTCTGAAATCACTGAGTTTTGGACCTGTACTGCATTTTCATTGCTACTTTCAGCCATGCAGGCAACTAACTCAGAATAAGTAGTATGGAAACAGCCAGCCATTTCCACTAGACATTATCTTCTCTTCTGTGTGTCCTATTTTATAAGGCACCTTAAAAAAAAATCAACACAGCATAAAAAAAATAAATAAATACACAATTCACTTACCTTTGGCTTCCTGAATAGTCCAGAATTCTTTCACTATCTTAACAATGTTTTTTTCCTCTCTCAACTTCTTTTGCCACTGACGTAGCTCTTGTACTTCACTGTCACAGCGGACCTGTGAAAGGGAAAACAAAAGATGCTACTAAAATCATATACATTCATGCTACCCAAGAGGATCAAACAATTTTTTCTATGGGGCTGTGACTGGGCAAATACATGACATTCATCCTTTTTTTTCTGGGCCTGATAGAAAAGCACAGTCCCAGAGGTTTATAATTTTCAACTGGCACAGAAATAAAGCCCGCAAACTGACAAACCCTATTGAAGACATAAATATGCCAATTAGGGGATCATATTGATTACAAAGGACTCCTGAGAATGTGATTGCAGTGAGGTACTTTATTCTTTGAGTTAATTAAAATTTAAAGCATTATGCTAAAGAGTATTTGTGCCTTTAGAAAACCACAACACTGTAACACCATCCCACTGACCAACATAATAGAGGAGCGAAGGAGCATGAAAGGTCATACAGCAGGAAATTTATTCCAGCAAACTGATTCACACCTGCTATCAGCTGCAAATAGGCTTACTGACAAGCCCAGCTATACAATTTTCACAAACAGGAGAGCCATTAATCTGTTATTTAAAGTAATTGGAATGCATTACATGATATCTATTCTTTGTCAGTCAATCACTCTATGAAGGGCATAATTCTGCTTCTACATAAAATGACAATACTCACAGGCCTTGACTCCATTTAAGATTTAAGTTGAATTCTTCTATTATTGCTTTTGTACTAGGGTAGATCCTACTAATGTAAGACAGAGCAAGCTTTACATCAGCAGCTTTTACCACTCTGCTACTTAAACTCGTTCTAAGCAGGATTTGATTAATTAGCAGTATGTTGCCTGCTGTCTACATCAGTATTCACACAGTTACTACCTCTGTGCTGGAGCTAAAATCCACAATAGATACTGTCCTTCTGAAAATGGTGGGAAAGGGACATGCTAAAATTAGCTTAGACATTGGTTAGTGATTATTCTTTTAAACTCATATTCAAATTATAATAGAATTATTGAAAAAGCCGTTTCTGGTGGCTTTTTTTTCTAAATGTTATATAAGTAAAATGTCATTATGTTTTAGGACTTAATGCCCTAATAATTCAGTCTGGAGTTGAACAACGTGGTAGAAACAAGCAGCAATAAGCTTAGGGTCTCCTGAACACATTCTTGTTCTTGGGAAACTGACTACTTAGTTTTCTAGAAATTTTCTTGTATTTATTTTATTCTTACATGGTAAGGTAATGGGTTTGCTCTGTGACTTGAACTCTCCTACCCCACTCCATTACACTTTACTTTTCTTCCACTTTCCCAAGATACCTACAGAGCAAAAGAGCAGGATATGGTTTTCCACTAGTTATAAAAAGAAATAAAAGAAAACAATATAAATTATTTATCCTCAGATATATTATTTCCACCCAGAATTTCTCCTTTGTGGTGCAGCTGGGAATGCAATAGAGAGTAGCTGAACTCCCACAGCAATTTTTAATCCACTTAGAAGATAACTTGCTATGTTTCAGACAGTGCACTGGCAGAGCAGAAAGGTTACATGATCAGTAACGCCAAGCAAGATTTCTGCTCAGTGACTTGACATCAGATACCTCTGAGTCCTCTAATAATACCCCATTATACTAGTACAGTTCTCTATTATCTTCTATAAAAGTTATACAAAGTTCTCGCAAAACCATTTTCTATTAAACACATCAGATACTATTTTCAAAAATAAAATACAATCCCCAACCCAGGATAGTTTCTTTAGGCTTGCAAGACACTTTTTTTTTTCTGTTATACTGCAATTCATGTCTTTATAAAACCAATAATTTCCTATAGCATGGAGTCAGTTTATCTGCACAGGAAAGGGTTAAAGCAATGCTTATGGAACATGCAACTGTCAGTAGCAGAAGAGGCAGAAAGATAGAGATTTTACTACCCCTGTGTCTAAATATAATATTTTTGAACAACTTAAGTGCCCATTTCCGACTGCAGCTATGTAAGACCTGTATTTTGTCCTGAAACACTGATGATTGGTCTGGAGAAGACCAATAATGAAGCACAATACACTGTTCCTTTATCACAGTGCCATGTAAAAAAAATGTATGTGTGCTTGTGTTTGATTATTCAATATTATTACAATGTGTAAGTTTTTATTTTGATAATAGTGTTTAAAAGTTCCAAATTCTCTAAATTATAAAATAAGGTTTAATGAAAAAGTTCAGAAAAAGAGCTTAAAATACTGACACAATAATATCCTTAGAATGCAAAAGGGCATACTTGTAAGTGTTCAGTTATTGCCGCAATAAATCCCTGTTATCTGACAGAGCTATTTATTTTAAAAGCAAAATATTTGAATTCTTTGGTGAATTTTCATAATATACTTTAACATTAATGTGTTGAAATGCTATTTAAGCTTTGTGTTCTCTTAATTTACAAGCTCAGGCATAACACATGGCCCTATGTAGTACGTTGTTACTAATGATTTTTGTTTTATAGTCCTGATTTTAATTTCAATTTAAATTTTTAAAACACCAAGTTCTGTCATCTCTAATTAGCTAAACCATTTAACAGCGAATTTTATAGCCTGAATTATTTTTTATGTCTCCTCCTTTTTATTGTACAGTTTCTCTCTCATTTCTGGGAACTCGTTTAGAATGATAAATAGTACTGTGAAAATGTTGACGTTAATATATATAACAAGGAAGGATAGTGTCCTTCAGAAGCTTTGGTAGAAGCACAGAGTATCTGAGCAACCTTGCACTGTTCAGCAAACATAACTATTACTGCATAATGGCTGCCTTTGCAATACACCACTGTAAGGATGCCTGCAGTGAGGCTGTCAGTGCTAATTAATGTTAGTGTCAATGCCATCTCTGGTTTAAAATAAGAAAAATAAAGGAAAATGAAAAAGCAGAAAGCATCACACAAATCTTCCAGTCAAGAAGATCATTTCAAGGTATGTCATCATCTTTGGTTTCATGGCATATTATGTATCCACTCATATATTCATGCTTGTTAAAAATAGTAAAGATAAACTTAGCAGTGTTTTATAGTGACTGTTACTTAAAGAATACCTAACATACAGACAGAGGTGTGTCTCACTGTCTGTCACAATGAAATTCCTGCTATAACTGAAGGCTATTTACAAGCATAAAGTTTGATAAAGGCAGTCAAAAGACATTTCTTTGTCACCAGTGTCACCTGAATTTCAAGTCAATTTCTTTCCAAGGCCTGAAAGTGTTAGAGCCTTTCAAAGAAGTATTTGATAAAATCTGTTCAGGATTTTCAAAGTAATTTATTTTGTACCCTGGGGTTAGCATGGCTGTTACCCTCCACAAGAACAGCATTAGCCCATTTTCTTTGCATTTATTTTATGCCTCTTGCTTTTCCCCTCAAATAAGGATCTTGTTAGTGTTATACTACTAGTACCACTTTATTTTCCCTTTCCTTGAATAAAAGTTCATGCCTCTCCTACATATCCTGTCTCATTATTGGTCTCAATTTTTTTATCGTTTGTTTCTGTATGCTTTTATTTCTTAACAGACCCCACCAGTCCTCCTTTGTGCATCTTCTCACGTACTCACTCACTCACATATCCCTGCATGAAGCAAAGTTAACACTTCATCCTTTAGCAACCAGTCAAAGATTTAAAAAAAAAAAAAAAAAAAAAAAAGTTGATCACGGTTAATTGTATTTTTGAAAACCAAATTTCTGTGCATTTTCTTTTGTTGAGGAAAACAGTGAGACTGCATCAGCAAAAATGCCTGTGAAAAAACTGTAGTCACTAGGCATAAGGCAAAGCAACATACAAAGCCAATGAACCATGGGGGGTCTCAGCAGCTATTTATAGTATCCCCTACTTAAAATTTATGTAAGGATTTTCCCTGGGGCCTTCACAGTTCTACAGTTTTCAACATCAAGCAAAATAATTATAGATTACTCTTACCCGATAACCTCTCCAGAAGGACTGAATTATTATGCTTGCTTCTTCTTCTGATAGAAGGAGAGAGAGAGGAATTGGTCGTCTAGGACTTAAAAAAAAATAAATACATGTTTTGTACTTGGACAGCCTATAAATATAAAATACTTTCTTCCCTAACAGCATATTTGACGAAAAAAAAAAGAAGAAAGGTTATTCAGGAGCTTGAAAGACACAATTGCTTATTGCTCCAAAGATAAAATGTGCAAAGAATATCTCCTTTAAAAATACATTCTATGTTATGTCTACTACAACCATTTCTTTTAAAAAATAATAATACATAAATAGCACATCAAGAGACGTAATCTTTCTTATTCTTCTACATGGATTTCAAGTTCCAGCTATTACAGTAAAGTCTGATGTGGCAGCGGGAGATGGGCAAGAGAAGTAAACGTGCCATTTATTTCAAAAGCAGAGGAGGTTTTAGTGTGCGTGCAAACAATGAACAGCCTGATGACATAAATGCTTATAACAATTATTAAATACACAGAATGTAAATACATTTTAGTACATTAATTTACAGTATGATTTCACTAAAAATTACAATGCACTCAAAATGTAATTATTATCATAACTGCATAAGCATGGGTCCATGTTTACAAATGTCTAAACGAGTTCTTAAAACACTGAAATTTTACTTTGAATATACACATTATTTGGTGATAAGAGAAAGCAATACATATGTGAAGTCAAGAATTTTCAGTCAAAATTTACAGTAATTGGGTAACATGTTTGCTGATTCTGTCACTACCAATTTTAATGGGAAACATTCTAAACTATAATTACAATTCAGCCATCACTAACAAAACCTCAAATCACTGTAACAGATCCTGCTTCCCAAAAGCCACGTTCCATGGATGCTGATTTTTTTCTCATACACAATGATCAGAAAGCATCCATTGGAAAGGACAAGATAAAACTAACTGATGAAGTTTCTTTCATAATAAATGTAATTTTAAGCTAATGAACTATAGGGCTATAATGTTGCAACTCATGAAAATACCTGTTATGAACACTAGATTTAGCAAAGGATTAGAAGGGCTGCTACGAGCCACTCTTCCTTGTATGGGAAACACACTGAACACAAACTTATGAATCTGGATGCAGCAATCATCTTATAGACACATGCAACTAATGCAGAAATGTTATTTACCATATTTATACTATAAAATATATACCTAAAGATATACTGTAATGACCACCATTTAGCAAGCTATTTATGCAGTCTTACATTTTCTGGCTAAAACATTTCTTCTGCCATTTCTTTATTATATTTTTTTTCTTATATTACAGCTCAAGCTAGGAGGCTTGACAGCTTACATTTTCCCTTCACTTAATTTCATTCATATTAGTCTCTACCCTGGTAAGCTTCCTGTGGTCTCTGACATCTTGCTCTTAGAGCTTGTCTTCAGTGAAGGAGCATTTCAACTTAGAGCACAATCTTAACTATTATCTAATGCTACACTGACTGCACCATTTTAGTCTGTGTACTCAGCTAAATTGGTATCATCATGTCAGCTGGGTTTTGGCCTACATTTATTTTAACGTGAAAGAAAACCTTGGTCTTTTTGGAAGAGTAGAAGTAAGGCAAAAATAAAAAGAAGTCTCTCTATTAAGCTCAATGGTTTAGCCCTGTGAACATTAATTAGCATTTCTACTGCTCAAGGGAATCAGAAGTGCTGGACAAGCAAAGCTAGCGGCTTCCTATGATCAGACAAAAACAAAGTTGGGCTGTGCTGGTTTACCTGATAGGCTTTTCAGCCTCTATTCTATTTTTGATCTTTTTTGAAAACCAAAACTTTGAGCAGGAAAGTCACAGAAAGACCTACATATTTTACAGCAGTTATATCAAAGACATTGAACTTTCTCTGTGAATGAGCACATCTCCAAAGAACAAGCTGAGAAGTCTCTTAGCCTGAAAGGCTGACTCTAGCATTCATTTGCTTTCATTTTCAAATTAGAAAAATGTCTAGTTTATAATCCAACACTAAATTTGAGAAACTCATATAAAAATCAGGCAAGAACAGGACTTAGTTTTCAGTATGACATCAATCATTTCAACAGGGCAGCTTTAAAGAAGAGAAGTCATACCAGGTCCAGTTTTGTCTGAGAGAATATACGCAATTGGCTTCAGGTCAAATAAAAATAGAATCTGAGCAGAGGCAATCACCCCTCAGCAGTGAACTAGGAAAAAAGGGAATATATCATTTGTGGCAGAAGACAGCTGTATGCCTCCAAGAAGATTAAAACTGACACTAACTATATTCTGCCTGTTTAGTCTTTGATTATGCAAGCCCATGCATTAAACATGTTGATACCTATTTTGAGAGATATATATATATCAGCTACATTGTTTAATGTAAGTTAAATGATGTAAAAGAGCATCAGTAAAATGATTTTTCCTAACTACTGTATTTTACCAACTCTGAATAAAGCAGACACGAAACAGAGGAAAGTTGTTTCTTGCTTTATGAACAAACTTGCCCAAATCCTGACTATGCAAGATACTTACTAATTATGTTACACTATGCAGGTGGAATGTGGCACCCAAAAGATAGACAAAAGACTTGGATTAAATAAATGTATGAGGTATTGAAAAGGTTTCTTATTGAAGATGTATATCTGATTTCCTCATGGGCAGCAGCTGGGTTTCTCAGTGAATTCTCAAAAAGGGAGGGGGGGAAAGACCCTCCATTATCTTGTCACCAAAATAGAGAAGTTAACCTCTTGGGGTTCATAGCCATGCTGATGAGCACTTTATACAGTCACTGATTTTACACAGTAATGTCCAGAACACCCAATTGTCATTAAATTCCCAGTGTGTCTCTGACAGATAGGTCTGATTTTTATCTTGAAAAGGAAATACAAGAAAAAAATTAATTGAGCAAAATTTTCACTATTTATAATTCAGGATTTCATAATTGCTCATTTTATTCAAATCTATTCCCTCACAGTAACAGATAACCACCAAATGTAACCACCAGCCTCACAGCAAGCTGCTGCAGGACCACTGTGCCAGCTACAGAAAGCATCAGTGCCTGGGACGGAAGGTGTGTGAGTGACAGTGGGATATCCAGGCACAGCCCATGAATGATCAGGGTTTCTCTCTGTTTTCAGAAAACTTGTCTCTAGAAATAGTGAAGCAAACTGAATCACAAGGATCAGGCCTTCTGGAGGCCTCTATGTTTCAATACGACAGCTACTGCCATATTAAACAGCAACAACCGCTTCACCTTTAATTTGACTGTGATGGTTATTGTTCTTGAGTATTTATATCATGTGTGAACACAGGCAATGACAGAGTCACTGCAAAACTCATAATCTAAAAGACACAAGAACTGACCAAAGAACAGGGATAAACATAGGAGACGCAAATAAATGACATGGTGATCTGTGTAACTCCTCTGATAAAGTCTGTGGTTTGAAAGTATTCCAATAATTCACATCCTGATCTGAACAACCAAAAAAGTTCTGGAAATTTTTCAAAGTTGTTTTCTTTCATATTTTCTGCCAGAGAATCTAGAAATACTATAGCAGCACCTGACTTCATTAAGACTTGCTCTTACAATGCCTAATCCAGAGTTGTAAATATGCACAACAATGAAAAAGCATTGTTTTGATTGAAAATGCATGTTTCAAAATCTCTGCCTACAGACGCTATTAAGATCATTCACCCAAAAAGCAGGAAAAACATTGTTCATAAGCAATCAGACACTGAAGTACTGATTTATCAGACCTGTTTGAAACCAATTAGACATGTTAATCACGTATTACACTGTCACTGTAGGAGCTTCACAGCTTTACAGGAAATATTCCCCCAGACACCTAACAAATACACCCGGAACATTTTCTCAGATAAAACTCGGTGCAAACTGAGACTTTCCTCTGTAACATTTTAAGAAGTAATACAACTATTCAACAGTCAGAAAGAAATTTCTGTTAAAAAACAGACTAAGGACAATGTAGGCCCCCTCAGGAAGCTCTCAGGTGAACTAGCTACACAGGATTTGGAGAAGGCTGAGGTTCTGAATGACTTTTTTACCTCGGTCTTCACTGGCAAAGGCTCTGACCACACCACTCAAGTCTTGGAAGGCAGATGCAGGGACTGTGAGAATGAAGACCTTGGGCCCACTGTAGGAGAGGAACTGGTTCGAGACCATCTTAAAAATCTGAGCGTGCACAAGTCCATGGGTCCTGATGAAATCCATCCGTGGGTCCTGAAGGAGCTGGTGAATGAAGTTGCTAAGCCGCTGGCCATCATATTTGAAAAATCATGGCAGTCAGGTGAAGTTTCCAATGACTGGGAAAAGGGAAATATAACCCCCATTTTCAAAAAGAACATGGATGACCCAGGGAATTAGAGACCAGTCAGTCTCACCTCTGTGCCTGGCAAAATCTTGGAGCAGATTCTCCTGGAAGGCATGCTAAGGCACATGAAAAACAACAAGGTGCTTGGTGACAGCCAGCATGGCTTCACTAAGGGGAAATCCTGCCTGGCCAATTTGGTGGCCTTCTATGACGGGGCTACAGAACTGATGGACAGGGGTAGAGCAGTTGATGTCATCTACCTGGACTTGTGTAAAGTGTTCAACACTCTCCCACACGACATCCTTGTCTCTAAACTGGAGAGACATCAATTTGATTGATGGACCACTCGGTGGATAAAGAACTGGCTGGATGGCCGCACACAAAGAGTTGTGGTCAATGGCTCAATGTCCAGCTGGAGACCAGTAACGAGCGGTGTCCCTCAGGGATCGGTGTTGGGACCGGTCTTGTTCAACATCTTCGTCGCTGACATGGACAGTGGGATTGAGTGCGCCCTCAGCAAGTTTGCCAATGACACCAAGCTGTGTGGTTCGGTTGATACACTGGAGGGAAGGAATGCCATCCAGAGGGACCTTGACACGCTTGTGAGGTGGGCTGATGCCAACCTCATGAAGTTTAACCATGCCAAGTGCAAGGTCCTACACCTGGGTCGGAGCAATCCCAGGCACAGCTACAGGCTGGGCAGAGAAGAGATTCAGAGCAGCCCTGCGGAGAAGGACTTGGGGG